GTAAATCGGGTCGTCTGAGAGTTCAGTGTTTCAGTGTGAAGCCACATAGAATTGCATCCAGCAATGTGAGCATTCTTTTCTATATATTTATTTATTTATTGGCCTGCCTGGCGTCTTAGTTGTGGCATGCGGGATCTTCGATCTTCACTGCAGCATGTGAACTCTTAGTTGCAGCATGTGGGTGGGATCTAGTTCCCTGACCAGGGGTTGAACCTGGGCGCCCCCTGCATTGGGAGTGCAGAGTCTCAGCCGCTGGATCACCAGGGAATCCCCACGTAAGCATTCTTGAAAGTCGAAGTTCTGCGTTAGTCACGAATAAGTAAAATATTAGTGTGGTACAGCGTGCTCGTAAAATAACCCTTAGTGAAGAAGTGCGTGAGGACTTTGTGTCCTTTGCATCATAGCATCACAAGTTGTATCTAAAGGTCTTCATGGATTATCTTATTTCATTGATTCCAAGGGGCATATTTGCCACATTTGAGCATCTCTAAGTCAGAATATGTCTTACTGATGTAAGATACATCTAATTTTTTAGATTCCACATATAACTGACATCATGCAATATTTGTCTTTCTGTGCCTGGCTTATTTCATTCAGCATGATGTTCTCCAGATTCATCCATATTGTCACAAATGGCAGGATTTTCTTCTTTTTTAAGGCTCAATAATGTCCCACTATATATGTGTTTATAATATTAATATTTGTGTACATATACAAACTATATGTGTGTATAATATCATGTCAGTGTATGACAAAACCCACTACAATATTGTAAAGTAATTAGCCTCCAACTAATAAAAATAAATGAAAAAAAATTCATATTTATCTATCTGAATATATGAATAATATATATACACTCATGCTTTCTTTATCTATTTATCCATCAACACTCAGATTGTTTCCATATCTTGGTTATTGTCAATAATGCTGCAGTGGACATGGGAATAAGATGTATCTTCGAGATACTGATTTCATTTCCTTTGGGTGCCTTTCCTTTACCCAGAAGTAAAGTTGCTGAACCACAGGCTCGTTCAGTTTTTATCTTGAACCCGCAGTGTTTCCCGTAATGACTGCACCAGTTTACAGACCCACCATCAGTGTACAGTGCCTCCGTTTTCTCCACGATCTCAACAACACTTTCCATCTTTTGACTTGTTTGATAGTAATGATCCCTACTAGGTGTGAGGTGATGTCTTACTGTGGTTTCTACTTAATGATTAGTGAAGCTGAGCCTCTTTTCACATACCTGACTCCAGTTGGCCATTTGTATATCTTCTTGGAAAACTGTCTTTCAGGTCCCTTTCCCATTTTTTAAATTGGGTTGTTGGGTGGGGGGTGCTGTTGAATCATTAGAGTCCCTTATATATTTTGGATATCAATCCCCTATTGGATGTAAGATCAGTAAATATTTTCTTCCATTCTCTGGATTGCCCTTTCATTTTGTTCTTTCCTTTGCTGTGCAGAAACTTTGTAGTTTGATGTAGTCCCACTTTTTATTTTTGCTTTTATTGCCTGAGCTTTTGGTGTCAGATCTAAAAAATCATTGCCAACACCAGCTCCAGGGAGGTCCCCCCCCCCCCTGTTTTCTTCTGGGAGTTTTGTGGCTGCAGGTCTTACTTTTAAGTCTTTAATCCATTTAGACATTGATTTTGGTGCATGGTATAAAATTCCATTCTTTGGCATGTCAATATCCAGTTTTTCCAACACCACTTATTGAGAAGACCATCCTTTACCCATTTTGTTTTCTTGGTGTCTTTGTCAAAAATAAGTTGACTATAAAAGTGTGGGTTGATTTCTGGGTTCTCTATTCTATTCCATTGATCTATGTGTCTGCTTTTATGCCAGTACCAAGCTGTTTTGATTGATGTAGCTTGGTAATATAGTTTGAAATCAGGATATGTGATGCTTCCAGCTTTCTTCTTCTTATTCAAGATTGCTTTAGTTATTTTGGGTCCTTCATATTTCCATATGAATTTTATAGTTTTTTCCTATTTCTGTGAAAAATACAGAAATTCAAAATTCTGTTAGAATTTTGATAGATTAAATTTGTAGATTGATTTGGGTAATGTGGATATTTTAACAATATTATTTCTTCCAACTGATGAATACAAGAAATTTTCCCATTTATTTGTGTCTTCTTCAATTTCTTTCATCAATGTTTTACCATTTTCAGCACACATACCTTCTATCTTTTGGTTAAATTTATTCCTAAGTATTTATTTTTGATGCTATTGTAAATAGGATTTTTTTAAATTTAATTTTTGTATAGTTCTGTATTGATTTTGTATCCTGCAGTTTTACTGACTTCATTTTTAGTTTTAACATTTTGAGGGAAGGGGAAAGTCTTTAGGGTTTTCAGTATACAGGATCATTTCATCTGCAAACAGGAACAATTTTACTTCTTTATTTCCAACTTGCATGCCTTTTATTTCTTGTTCTTGCCTAGTTGTTCTGGCTAGATCTTCCAGTACTGTGTTGACTAGAAGTGGTGAGAGTGGGCAGCCTCGACTTGCTCTGATCATAAAGGAAAAGTTTTCAGCTTTTTCCCATTAAGTATGATGTAAGTTATGAGCTTGTTAGTTACGGCCTTTATTATGTTGAGGTACATCCTTCTATGGGCTTCCCCTGATGGCTAATTGGTAAAAAATCTGCCTATAATGCAGGAGATGCAGGTTTGACCCCTGGGTCAGTAAGATCCTCTGGAGAAGGAAATGGCAATGCACTCTAGTATTCTCACCTGAAAAATCCTATGGACAGAGGAGTCTGGCAGGCTACAGTCCATGGGATCATAGAAGAGTCAGACATAAACTGAGCAACTAAACAACATTCTTCTATACCTAATTTGTTGAGAGTTTTTATCATGAAAGGATGTTGAATTTTGTCAAATGCTTTTTCTGATGAGATGATCATATGATTTTTATCTTCATTGTATTAACATGATATATCACATTTATCAACTTGCATATGTTGAACCATTCTTACATCTTTGCATACATTTTCTTTATTTTTAAAGAATTAAGTACCACTTTCCACCAAAGCATTAACTTTAAAGGGCTTTCATTTTTGTAACTTTGATTTATGAGTAAAATATGTATACTTGTGAGAGACCAATAAATTCATAGGTTTTTGAGAACCCACAGCAGTATTTTACAAAGTAATAATGTCTTTTCTGAAACCAGTTTTATTCTTTATCTTAAAAACCTCTTAAAATTTATAAAATATTCATACACACTTTAAAAATTGAACTTTAACCCTTTATAATAAGACATTGTTACTAAAAAGCACCATAGTCTTTAACTTATTCTCTTTGGTTATTGAGGGATATTCTAGCCCACATTTAATTCAGACTTTTATTTATTTTTCATTTACTGTAATATCAGTGGGGGAATTTTGGAATTCACTCTAGAGTCAACTGGCTTCCAACTGAAGGTAATTTAAAGTTACACTGATTTTGTTTTCTCATTACAGAAGCAATACATAACATAGTAATCCTGGAACACTTTGGAATACAGAAAATACATTTTAAAAGAAGAAAAAGTCATCCAAAGTTTAAGAACATTAAAAATAATCACTGTTGACATTTTAGTGTTTTCCTTACTGTCTTTTTATATAATTTTCATATACTTATTAGCAAGTATGTTTGTGCATACACGTAGCATATATAAAATCTTATATATGTAGTCATCATACTCTATGTACACGTCACTTTTTTTAACAACGTTGGATAGTATTTTCATGTATCATTAACTATTGTTCAGCACTTTTACAACTACATAGTGTTTGCTTTTACAGATATACAGTAATTCATTCAACCATTTGCCAACTGTTGGTCATTGAGGTTGTTTCAGATTCTTTTGATGTTATTAATTTCGTCAAGCATAATACTGGTACAATTGAGGTGCTGATGAGGCAGAGGAGCATCACGGTGATGTGCCAAGTGGTTAGACAGCAAATCATAGAGTCCCCTTAGTGGAAGACCAAGGAAGGAAAGGCTAAACTTGGACCTGGTTGGAGAAGCAGAAAGAGATGCACGTGAAGACTATTGTGTTAGACTTGACAAAAGATGGACCCTCTTGAAGTATGAGTCAAGAAACCCTTCAAAGTTGCGTTTGTTTGTTGGGGAAAACAAATGCCATAAACAGAAAGTATCAGATTTGGAGGAGGAGCTTTAGCATGTTGAGGATGAGCATCATTTACCATGATGCTGATGGTCAGCTCAGCTGAACCGAAGCTCTAATGGACTCTCAGGACTGGAGATGAAAAGTACAAGTCGTAAATGGATAGAGAATGTCGTGATGAATTCTTGGGAAAATTGGGTGCGTTGGAAGGTGATCCTGCACAGATGGAGGAAAATAGTTGAAGTTTTTAGGAATGACCCATATTTTAATGAGAAGGAAAGGAATAACCAGTAAAAGAGGAGGAGGAAGGCAGGAAGGGAAGGAAGGGGAGAGAGGATGGGAATCAGAACTTGAGTTGTTGGGAGTCCAGGAAGGGAGAGACCTCCGAGAATGAAATGCACAATGCCAAGTGCCGCTGCTGTCTGTGCTGAAGGCAAGCTGCTGAGAGGCTAATTGCAACCTTGAAATATTTTTTTTTCCACTGGTGATTCAACCCTAAGCCAACTTTAAAGGCATTTGGGAGCAAGTGGGTGGAATCTACGATTTTGAAAATTTGGTGGTGAAAGGAAGGAAAAAGCGGGGGTGTGCATTTGAGGCAGTCAGAGGAGGCTGGAGGTAGTGGGTGTGTGTGCCTTGGTGATGGCACATCGGCTATCTATCGTGATAGCTGCCGCAGCACTTCTGTCCTCTGCGGAATGTCTCCTGACAAAACCAGCCTTTCACCGTGAAGCTGCCTTGGAAATAGAAGAGACTGAATTCATACAGGCAGCTTGCCTTGTTGGCCTAAAAATTACTGCTTGAAAAAACAGAAAGGAAGCCTTCACGTTTTAGAACCTTCGAAGGGATAATTTACTCAAGGTGGGAAAAACATCTTTCTTTCAGGCAACCACTGAAGAGACGAAAGCGAACAGTCAAGAAGATGAAAACGATGGTGAAGAAGCAGGAAAAGGGAATACAGAAGTTGCCTCATCAGGTTTGTTTTTTGTAACAGACTGGGTTTTAAAGATAAATCCTAACCCTTAAACTTGATTGAAAATAAAAAAGGTCGTGAATGAGGCGAGTCTCTAACCGGTGTGGTTGTGCTGCCACCTAGCGGCGTCCTGGGGAAATTCTGATCATGTGGTTCATCTTGTAAAAAAGCAAGGCTTCCTGCGTCTTTACTTCCTGATTTTGTTTTTGAAAGTTTACCTCCATCATTACAAAAGGATTATATTTCTCAAAATAAGTAATGCTAAAAACTGAATGTTATGTTTAACAACAGTAATAGCAATTTAAAATAGCAGGTTTAAAATATATCATAAAAATAGATCTTGAAACAGCAAAACTGGTGAATAATTTAAAAGAATAAAGTAATGCTACGAATATGAATAGTGAGTTCAAATAGAGACTCACTCTTCCTAAAGCTGTATATCTCAATATTTTTAACACATTTTTCTTTTGATAAAGCATGAAAACTTCTCACCCTCCTTTAATACCAAATTATTTTTAAACAGCACCTTAAACTAAATGAAATGTCATTACTAAAAATTTTAGCATACACTTTTTCAAACTGGACTATACCTCCACACTTCAATATGCCCCTTCAGATGGTGACTTTTTCACCCACTTTATATATTCAAGAACACAATTTTCATTGTATTATATTAACTACACAACCCTTAACACATTCCAGTTATGAAAACTTGATGTTAAAAAGTATTGAGATACAAAAGGAAGAGTCAGGTTGCCACTCATTTGGATAGTAATTTAGGTAGCAATTATCTGTAAATGTTCTCCCATGCAACCTACCTCCCTTAATATTCTATGTCAGCATTTTGTTCCATGTAGTGTTATTCATATGTACACTGGGACTCTAATTCAGAACATAGGTTTTCATAGTGGGGTTCTTTGATGTGTTTTATGTTGCTTGATTTTTTAAATAATACCATGAAAAGACCTAGAGAATCCTAGCATCCGAGGCTCTTCTGCACTTCTCATCACACTGTGATCCAGCTGCATGTGGCCCAGGACAGGATGTGTACTCAGCGTCATCTGCATATGGCAGAACTGAGACTTTATACAGTTTTCATCTCCTTTGTGTTTCTGAATGTAACTCCATTCCAGAGCCACAGCTTTTTACAACAACTGTGACCAGATCCAGCCCGACCGTGGCCTTCGTGGAGCTTTCCCCCAGCCCTCAGCTGAAGAATGAGGTGCCAGAAGAGAAGGAGCCGAAGAACCCAGAAAATGAGATGAGTGGGAAGGTGGAGCTGGTGCTGTCCCAGAAGGTGAGGCGGTATGGCCGCGATTCTTGCAGCTTCGTGTTGCTGCTGGCTGCTGCCGCGGCAGGCCTCCCAGTGAGGTCTATTTTCTCTCCTGATCCTTTCTCCTACCTTTAAGGTGTATACTTTTCTAAAGACAAATATAATACATGCTCATTGTAAAAAAAAAAATAATAAGTGTATGTAGAAGGATTTCTGTGTAGTCCATTTGGTCTGCTATAACAGAAAACCACAACAGAAATTTTTCTCTGAGTTCTAGAGCTGGGAGGTCCAAGATCAAGGCACCCATGGATTTGGTGTCTGGTGAGAATCCACTTCCTGGTTCATAGGCGGCCATCCTTTAGCTGTGTCCTCCTTGGCAGAAGGGGCGAGGGAGCTCTCGAGTCCCTTCTGTAAGGACTATGGAAACACTGCTTTCAAGGGTTCTTAACTCTGTGTGTGTACATGCCCACACCATGGACCCTTTGTCCATCTGGCAAACAGTGTTCTCAGAATAATATTGTTTAAACCGTAAAATGCACAGGATTACCAAGTTTTCCTTGGTATCAAGTGGGACAAAGTACATATCATCACATGGATTCTTCTCTGTGGACCGCAGCTTAAGAATTGCGGCTAGTTGATTAGCAAATGGAATAATGGTCTTTGGACCCAGTGCTTTTCACACCGTGTGAACTTCTCCTTTCCCTGTCGCACAGTTATCTTTCAGAGAAGGAAGGCAAGATGCTGACAGTGGTTGAAACAGCTTTTATTTTCTGACTTCCTTTGAGAGTGTTGCTTTTATAAATCCAGGTAGCCGTGCACACAGGCTGACCTTTTACATAGTGGTTATTTTCAGCATTTCTGCTGCTGATTAACTGTTTTACTTGCAATCAGGCATTGTCTGACACAGGTTTGTGTCAGACTCCACTATGGGGAAAATGGTATGAGGTTAAGATTTGAGGGTTGTCCACTTGGTAACTCTCGGTCTTAAGTGTTGCTGCATGTTTAACACTGAAGTTCATTTGGACACCTGCTTGACCTTCATAATACAGAATGGCTCACTGTATTTTTCTCAGGATTCCACTAGGGTTGAATATATTAGTCATCAAGAAAAATAAAATCCTACGGAGAAGAAATTCTAGACATTGAATCATCCTGAGGACCAAACAAGAGATAAGCTTATGATGAAAAAAGTGCTCTAGAACCTCACTGACCATCAAATTAATCTCTTCAAGGCCACCAGCCAATGAATCAGAGAAGGTCCTGTAAGAGCTGAAAGGACACGAACCGATGCAGCCACACTGCTCATGCCGACCCCTGACTCTTACTATTAGCTGTCAGTTTGGTTATCTGTTCAGTCAGCAATCAGCTGATTAGAAGCAACAAGTCGGAAGGTGTTCTACCAAAGGCCATTCAATAGCAATAACCAGAAACATCTACTTTTACAAACCAAACATAAAAAATTTTAAAGCCTGTAATTTTGGAACTATTTACCATAAGGTTATGTGGGCTAACCTGCTTCAAAAATCCCTCAAGGGCCATGTCCCTGTGGCACTGTTTGATATAACGGTTATTTACAATAATGCTTCTTTGTCAACAAGCACGGTATATTGTCTTTAATGCTCTTTGCACAACTTTGTGGGAAGTTGTGTAGCATCTCAAGAATAATGCCCATTAGAGTGTATTATTACTTTAATATTTAACACTAACATAGTTAAAAAATTTTGAAATCTTATGTGGAACGTCTTACTTCCTGACATTACAAATTCAGTATTATGCAGTACCACGAAACTCTGGTTAATTCCAGTGAGAAAATGAGACAGAGTGATGCATAATCTCAAAGACAGAACGTTGTCTTCTGAGTCTGAAGAAAAGTGATCATCATATTTGAAACAAAGTGATCATCAAATTTTTATGCTGTAGTTTGAGTTCTATGAAAAACTGAACTCTGTATTAATGTAGAAAGCATGAAGGGGGTTTGGAGAAGGGACATTTTCTACTTACGGTTTTAATGTTTGGGCTTATTTACTTATGTGATAGCCATGGACCTTTAAATTTTATTCCACTTGTGCATTTGTTAATGGCCAGTACCTGTGATGTGTATGTCTGTTGCCTGTGTTCCAGGTGGTAAAGCCAAAATCTCCTGAGCCAGAAGCAACCCTGACATTTCCATTTCTAGAAAAAATGCCTGAGACCAACCAGTCACCTTTGCCAAATCTCAATTCTCAAGGTAAAAAGAAGGAAATGTTTTGTTTTAGTTCTACATGTTCTGCTGGGCCCATTTGTAGTGAAATAGTCTTTATTATAAAGACAGATTCCTTTTTTTATGTTGCTGAACCTTTAGCTATTGGGTTTTCCCAGAGTCCATAATGGTTGAATTAATAACATCAGAATGAGAGCTGGGGCTACATTCTCTCTATTTGGCTTAACCAGGAACTCCAGCTGCTGGAACCACTTGGTCAGCCAGGCACAGTAGGGCCTGCACAAGTGTTTAATACCTGAAAATAGTTTGTATTGCCTCTAAAATGTTTTTAAAATTACAGAATAAAAAATCAATAACTTTATAGTTTTATCATCTCAGCTTCATTAATTGTTAATTATTAATCTCTAGTCTTCTTAAAAATACTTCATTTAGTTTGACAGCAATTGTCAATGATTTGACTGTGATTTTGGAAGGAAGTCAGATTTCCTTACTCTGTAATAGTTTCTGGATATGCGTGATGATTACTGAGAAATCCTTCATGATCATAGATTAAATGTGTTACTCATGAAAACTAATCTTTCCAAAAATCTTTTTGCCAAGAATATATATATATATACACACACATATATACACCTATTGTGCACATATGTATAGACTGAGGATATATCTTAATAGAAATCATTTGTTTACTTTTGATATAATGTGGAGAGTGATAGCCTCAAAAAATACTGGGTGTTGGGACCTATGAAGGTGTTAGAATGCAGTGACTACTGCCAACTCCTCAGGGTTTGGGGCCCTGTTTACTTGTGGATGCACCCCCTTTGCTCTTTAGAAGCCCAGCCTGAATCCCTTTATCTTGGTAAGGACTGCCTGTTCCCACACCACTTAGAAAAGAGCCTTAAGGATGTGAACAGTGCAGGGATGGGTCCTGAGGACTCCGTGATTTGTAGGGACTGCTTCACAAGAGACAGACCACTGGCTTTACTGGTGTGAGTTCTTTCTCTTTACTGGTGTGACGTGAAAATGGCTAGACTTCAGGAGGCAAACACTGTAAGATTTCTTGTTTTTCTTTTTTAATGTACTTTCCCTAGTGCATTTTATAGATTTATCAATCCAGACAAAGAGAGATTGTACAGGTCATTGTGACTGGGGATTTGTTACTTTCTTTTCCACGCTGGGCAGCTATTTGGCAGAATCTGAATTGGCTTCCATTAGTCTTTGTTGACGGCTGGGAAATAAGTTAGGCTCTAACTGCATAGCAGGAAGTACTCGGGAGGGAATTAATTGGCACAGGTACTGATGATCACTAACTTCTTCTAAATGTGGAAACAAGTTTAATACTATCTTCAAAGCATTTGATTTAAAGTTCTCAGCCCTCCTGTCCTGAAGGGAATGGACAAAAATAAATTCTCCCAACTGGGCCAGGAATTGTTCACATTTAGATTTTAATTCTGCCCTATCTCTAGCACTTTTTTGTAGAGCAGTAATATAAAGAGGAAATAGATATTTTAAGCCATATTAATAGTTTTTCTGTCTTATGTATTTTTCCATCTCATTACCTATTGAAAGGCATTTCAATTTTGTAAAATGTGCTGTTGAATTAAGGGACTTTACTTCATGCTTTATCTCAGGTGAATGATTAAAAAATAACATTCAGTAGCACCGGAGCATTTCCAAAATCATTCTTCAAGGTGAGATTATATTTGTCATACACGTGTTCCAAGTTCTTGTCTGGCTTATGGAACTGTAATTACAGCTGCAGGCTCTGGAGACAGAAGGCCCACATTCAGATTCTGTCTCTTCTGGTTCTTATATGTATGATTTTACCCACTGAGTTCTTTCTAGTCTGTCATCTGTAAACTGGAAATAATAATAGTTCAAACTTCATAGGGCCGTTGGAAGAATTAGATAGGATAAACAAAAAAAGGAGAGAGAAAAGCATTTAGCTTAATATCTGGCCCAGAATAAGCACTATAATATAATCCAGGGGCTGCAGAACAGTTGAATAGGAGTGGAAGTGTAAAGCAAGGTGCCAGGCAGGAATAAACCTTTCTCAAATGCTCTCCTTAAAAGAGGAGTGTGTATGTTATAGAGATATAGCTTACGCAGTGATTCTCAAGCACGAGTGTGTGGCAGGGTCCTCTGTAGGACTCGTTAAAACACGGACCTCTGGGCTCTACCCCTGCCATGTCTGATTCAGTGGGTCGGGCCTGGGGCCACAGTGTTTGTATTTCTAACAAGTTCCCCAAGTCGAGGCTGATGCCACAGACGCAGGGATCATACTCTGGAAACCACTGGCTTGAAGTATGTGTTTAAATTGTGCACCAAGGACATCACTGGTAGATGTAAAAATAACAGTGATACTTGTTTGGAATGTATCAAGTTCTTTCTTTGTATCTTTCAGGAAGCAAAAGGCCTCTAATCAATGTGTTCTTAAAAGACATGATTTGTCTCTAATTTGGGGGGAAGTTTAGGGCTCTGCCCAGATGTAAAAAGTCAGTGCACATTAAAGTGACTAGTCAGGCTGCATGTCAAGTCCAGAGGAGCCTGTAGGCTTGGGATCAGGAGTCTGGGAGCCACACCTAATATTCTGTCCCCAGGACGATGATGTCAGCACCATCACCACCGAGTCCTCTGTCTCTGGGCCGATCAGACAGGCTACCACAGATTTACTGGAGGCCCTAGTGATGCTCCGCAGATTTCCCTCCAACATACACAGCGCACAAATAATCTTTAAATACTCCAAAAGCATTCATAAAATGCATTTAAAGATGACAATGTCCTTTTCTCAACTGTCTTCCAACAGTAGAAAAATAGCTCAAATGGATGTTTCAGGGAAATATGTGCGCATTTTAAAAACTGATGTCTTTATTTGCATCAAGAATGATGACAGATGAGCCCAACACAAACGTTCAGGATGCAAATGCTTGCCTTGAGCTTCTGTCTGTTTGATGCTACCCCATTAGAGATACACGCATATACATCCTTTTGCTGCACACATATATAAGTGCCACCACAGACTTCCATAATAACCTTTATAAAGTGTGTAAAAATAATTGAACTCATCTCTGCTGTCTTTTATACTTTTTCTAGTGCTCTCCAAAAGCAATGTCAGCTATGCATTTTGCCCTTGGCATAGTACATTCTCCCTCCATATTGAGATTCAGCATCTTAAGTATCACCTTTAAGCATGAGCCCCTAAAATCCAAACCAAAACCAAGACAAACAGTAGCATAAACTTGCCCATCTATTGACTTTTGTCCACATCTTTGGGTTTTGTGTCTGTTTTATGGTGATGCTTAGATTCTTAAATATAGGTACTTACAGAGAACATATGTAACAGGGGTCCCCGACTGGGACCAGTCTGCAGAGCAGGCAGTGAACAGCGGGTGAACAAGTGAAGCTTTGGGTGTGTTGACAGCGGCTCCCCATTGCCCACATCACTGCTTGAGCTCTGCCTCCTGTCAGATCAGCCGCAGTATTAGATCCTCATAGAAGCGCAAACCCTCCTGTGAACTGCCCATGCGAGGGACCTAGGCTGTGCACCCCTTATGAGAATCATCCTGAAACCATCCCCCCCGCCCACTGTGTGGAGAAATTGTCTTCCATAGCATCCGTCCCTGATGCTGGAAAGGTTGGGGTCTGCTGATACACAAAGGTGTACTTTAGATTCTTCCCCCTCGGTCCTTGTGTGGACGACAGCCAGACCTCTGTTGGTGTTTGGGAGCACGGCTCTGTTCAAGTCTCACCCCCGTTCTCACGGTTTTCTGTCTGTTCTGCCGTCTCCTCTAGAGTCGCCTGGCACTGCCGGCGTTCCGCTGAGAGTTCAGAACTCTTGGCGACGCTCCCGGTTTTTCTCCCGGTCAGGTAAAATGCATCCTGGGCAGCTCTGCTGCTTTTCTGCAAAAATCCGTGTTGTGGGCAACCAGCGCTCTCTGGTTCCTTTCTTCACTTCTGATTCCAGAGGGGGCATGGAAAGCTTGTTTCGGGCACGCAGTGGAGCAGAGTTAACCCTTTGATGTCCGCACCCGTTAATGCTGAAACTGGGGGGACGTCCGTGGAATTTTACTTTGATTTCGAAAATCCAAGGAAACACTATTTACCTCTTTCTTTATGGTCCTCTTCTGCTTCTAAAATAAAAATTAGCAGCATTTAGCAGGAGCTGCTCACGGTTCTCTTGCTAACTGTGCCCCCCTCTCTACTCCTGATGACGCCTGGCGTCTGGGTGGGCTCCTCCACGTCTGACAGTGGGGGCTGCCAGTCAACCAGAGCGTGAGGTGCATTAAAGCAGCACTCGGAGGAATTGATTTTGCTTCCTGTAGTCTAGTACCTGGCACTAATTGATGTGACCAATCATATTATACCAGTTGTGACTTCTCTTGGTGATGGGTGCAAGCTGCTTCAGAGGCCTGCTTTATTGTGATTCTCTAGTGCTCTTGGCTTACCAAAAAAAAGTTGGTTTGAAGCTGACATGGGAACCACACTCCACTGAAGAGGATCAAAAAAGAAAGACAATTAGAAGGTTCTCACCTTGTGATCTTTTTTCCCTTTCTTTCTGTACAGTGGATTCTCCAAGTAGTGAAAAGTCACCTGTAACTACACCTGTAAGTAACTCCTGTTAAGAAATAAGATCATGCATTTAGTGGATTTAATTTATAAGGTATTTAATTCACTTAGGATTCAATCCAAAATGGGCTTCAAACTTTTGATTGGAAAAGAATATTTGTATAAGTTGTGTATAATGCTGTCAGTCGAATCATGAAGAAAGACACGAATTATCATTTTGCAAAGTTGAAAACAAAATGGTGAGTCAGGAAAGTAAAATCAAAACTAAAATCAAAAAGTAAGAAAATATGTAACTTCTTTAGGCATTCAAAAATCATTTTTTAATTTTTTAACTAAAAATTATATTTTTCAAAATTGCTTTCTCAGTGGGACAGTACATTAACACAGGATACTACTGGCAGATAGGGCCCAGCCTGGAACATGTCTGGGTGACCCAAGCTGTCTGAGTTACACTCCTCACAGTCAGTATCTTGAATAATATTAACTGTACATTTAGTTTTCAATTTTTTATTTTGATGAAATGAAAAAAGTCATTTGCTAATTAAAATGTCAAGTCACATGACACTGTGAAAATTCCCTGCCCCTGAGTCATGCCCGAACACTCTCTGTAGACCTGACTCTTCTCTGAGCTGAGTGTTTCTGGTGCTGGGCCTGTCACCCTCACTCACTCTCTGAAATTCCCATCGAATCTGGAGCCTTCCTCTACGGGACAGTCAACTGTAGCATTTCTTGAGCAACCCAGGTGTCACTGCACAATCATTATTGTACCTTTGATTACAGACTTGCTAACCATATGACCCTGAAGGTGCTATATATCTTTTCTGAAACTTGTCTTCCTTGGTCATACAATGAGATAGTAATACTTTCCTTTCAGAGTGTTATGAGCTTCATTTGAAATAATTACACATAGATCTCTAGCATAGTGCCTGAAACATGAACGAATCCTTCCCAATGGCTGATCCAAGAGGCCCACCATGGCCAAAACTAATTCGTCTCTGTGGGTAAATTGTCTCACCTTAGGAATTCCTAAGTTCAGGGTGGAGAAGGGTCGCATCACCCAGTATAACATAATTCACTTATTTCCATTTTAATGACACAAGAACAACACTGTCAAATTGTTCTTGTCCCCCCTGGGCAGGGGTGGAAAGAAGGGGTGTCCTAAAGAGATACATTCTTATTTCTAAGGTATTGAAAATAGAATAAGAAAGAGACAAGTTACTGACCTATGTAAGTGAATTCCCTGAAAATGCTGACCTAAATCTGATGTTCTTTTGACTTTTTGTGGCCATCCCTGCCATTTGCAGGACCCACAGCATGAGTATCGGTTGAGGCCCACATTTCACATGTCTAAGTACATTAAAGCTATAAATGTTTATAATGTTAAAAACCGAGCCACACGCATGGCCTGGCTCACATTCTCGGCCTGAAGATGCTTCATGACCAGGCCAGCCACTGTGCTTCTGGGTGGTAGCCTGATCGACTGTGGGCAGGACAGGATGGCGGGTGGGCTGGCCCAGGCATCTTGGCAGTCACTCGGCCCCTTGAAAGCTTGGATGAGGTTGATTCCGTCCTCCTCCGCAGGCAGCCACAGCGGGTGGAGTCTGCTCGCCACCCACCAGCCCCGACTCTTTCCCCTCCTCCCTACCCCCTTACCCTTACCCGCTCCTTCTCAGGATTCGGAGACAGTGCTATGCGGCTCCCAAAACCAGCCCGTCGGAACAGGGGGAGTGCAGAGCACAGTGGCTGAGGAGACATCTTCTGCTCAGCACCCACTCTGGGTGAAGGGGAGGCCAGCCTTAAGTACAGGCGTCTGTCCACTGTGGCTGACTTTAAGGACCAGTTATGGTTTTTCTTCCCCCTTCGGCTCTGAAACTCATTCATCTTCCATGGCCCAGGTGCCCAGGTGCATGGTTTATGCATCCTGCTCCATTATTTCCATTCACTCACTTGATTCCCCAAATCACACACTCTCTCTCTCTCACACACACAAAACCTGTTTAAAAGACCCAAACAAACTCCAACAGGGGCTCTGTATCAGTCTAGAGGGGTGAGATGGGGCAGGAGATGGGGAGGGAGGTTCTAAAAGGAGGGAATATATGTATCCCTATGGCTGATTCATGTTAAGGAAGGTTTGACAGAAAACAACAAAATTCTGTAAAGCAGTTATCCTTCAATAAAAAAATAAAATAACGTAAGGGAAAAAAAAGACCACGAAAAAAAAGTCTTTGTGTTTGCGTATTTCTTATGCAGGCCCTGGGCAGTCCTGCTGAGATAAGCACGCCTATTTGCTTGAACCCAGGATCAGTATGCAGAATGATTAGCTTATGCTCAGGAGTGTGAATAAATTTAAGAAATCGCTTTTAAGAGAAACGAAGCAAAAGCCTTCCCATGCCAGTGGCTAATTACTTTGTGTTTTCATTAGCTCCAAAACGGTTCAAAGAATACCAGCATTCTGGAAGTAAACCAAAGTGGGATTAAGGCTAAAAAGTGGTTTCCATATAGTCCAGTAGTTAAGTCTCCATGCTCCCAATGCAGAGGGTATGAGTTCAATCCCTAGTCAAGGAACTAAGATCCTGCATGCCAAGTGGCAAAGCCAAAAAAAAAAGGTAGTTTCTGCCAACAAAGAGTACCTGTAGATATGGGAAGGCGTCTGCTTCTGCATGTCCATCTGAGTATCAGACCAAGAGCTAATTGTGTCCCTTGTCCCTGCCTGGCCTCAAGGACATGGCTGAATTTTGATCATGGTTTTATTTTCTGAGCAGTTTAAGTTCTGGGCGTGGGACCCAGAAGAGGAGCGCAGGCGACAGGAAAAATGGCAGCAGGAGCAGGAACGTTTGCTCCAGGTAGGTCTGCGGCTTTTCCCCTTCTTTTAGGGATGCTCTCCTAATTCCTGTTGTGTTAAATAGTCGTTTAGCACAGGAGATGCATGGACTCAGCTTCTTCTCAGAAGTTGTTGAGCCTAAGTTCATCCATTTTGTGCCCATGAGACAGAATGCCCAATGTCTAATTCCTCCCACCAGAGGTTACACAGATGAACATAAGGAAAAAAAGTTTCACTTGGAAAAAAATTCAGATATTCAGTAAGGGCCCACCGACCCATTCATCATCTCCTTAGCTGCCAGTCAAATTCTAGTCCAGCCAAGGCTGGGGAAAAATCAGAAAGCTGTTTGAGAGCATACATGTGAAATAGCATTTGACCTGAGTTTTAGACCTTAAGTAGAAGTACTTGCTCCATGTTTAAGCAAATGCTCCTAATTTTCAATTCTAGAAAAATTCTGGGAGTGAGGGTATCGTGCTCCTACTTGTTCGGGGCCAGGTTTGCAGAGCAACGTTCCTCAGAACAGAACCAAGTAACCTCAGAAACTAGCCTATGCTGAGAGCTCAGGATGTGCCAGAACTGGCGTATTTGTGGGTGCTTGACATGCCCTGTCTAGTTTAGTCCTCATGAAACTTGCCCAAGTATGTCTTATTAGTCTGGGTTTGCAATTGAAGAAATTAAAGGTCAAAAAAAGGTCATCTTCCCAAGGCCACACCTCTAACAGATACTGAGCCTTGTTTCAAATCCGCAGCTGGATGACTGTTCTTTCCACTATATTCCCAATGGTGTTGACTTTCTGCCGACGTGTAGAAAGCAGTGCTTCATGCAAGTTTATTGTACTTTTTTTTTCCCTTATATTTTTGTTCTTATCCTTTCGGCTTAATTCCCAGGGGTGGGGAGCAAGGGTCCGCTCGATCATTGTAGTGTGGCTCTCGGTCTGCCCTTTCACTTTGACACTTTCTCAGAATTTCATAGGAGTAAACTTTCAATGCCAAATGTTAGTGAGAACTGAAGTCAGCAAAGTCCCAGAGCGGTGGGGACTTTTAGGTCCACAGGGCATCAGACCAGCCCTGGGCATCTGTTCGTCCCTTGGACATCAGATGCCCGTGTTTCCCGTGGTGACGCTGTGTCTGCTACACTCTGAAAGGTGGCCGTGGTTTTCGGTGTGGATTGTAGGCTGGGGGCTAAGGTGTTTATGGGGAAGGAAGGGTGTGTGTGTGTGATAGACATCCCCCACCTTTCCCCTCTGAGTGAGGGAGACATCGTCAATTCATCCTCTTGGTGGGGGAGACATGACATCGACTCCTAGAACCGAGAAACCTAAGGGTCTTTGCTTGTTTTTCAGGTTTTGTAAAGTTAGAAGTTCTGTTTCCTCTATTCTGAGGCTCCCTGGCGTCTCTGTCTAGAACTATACAATATTAGGTTTTGATAAAATTTTGACCTGGAGTTAAAAGCCTGCCATGGGTTGACCAGCCATGGTTTTTGCCAGAGCATGAATACAAACAGTTTCCAGACCAGCCGTGGTTTTTGCCAGAGCATGAATATAAACATTAGTTTCCATTAAGCCCTTTTGCTCCTTAGGTAATGACATAGCAAGTAATGCCTGGAGGAATTCTTGGTGCCTTCCCTAGAGGGCGAGAGCACAGACTTTGTCAGCCTCAGAGAGAGTCCTGACAGCAATCAGCCTGAAATGTTGGCTGTGTGTGCTAGGATACGCCCCAGCGAGTCCTGAGTCTCCGTCACGTCAGGGACGCCATTCCCAAGGCATCCAGGCGTGTCAGTTCTCACCTCCAGGCACGTTTTTAAAGCTCTCCAGAATTCGAGTATTTTTGCTTTGTTCCCCAGAAGAGGTGACTAGTGTCGTATTTTTTCTGAAAACAATAAGAGCAGTTCTGATATGGACACCTTCTAATGGGCTGTTTAAAAGCTATCCTTAATTCAGGACGACTTAAAGCCAGGAAGACTTCGTTTTAGTAGAATGGCCACTCAACTAATTATCATTTCATCCACTTTGGACCTTTCTCCATCATCTGCATTGTAAACCTCTGATATTTAAAAAAAATCTTTTATTAAACTCTCCCAGCAGCAACATATTTCTGTTAAGCGGAATGGCAAAGCTCATCTCTCTAGGGCCCAGTAAAAGCAAACTATTGGTTTAGCCTGTCTCTTAAAATGCAAGTTAAGAAGATTTTAGTCTTTTCATCTGTCTTCTTTTCATAAGCAAATATCTACTCATATATCTGAGGAACAATTCTCTGAAATACCCACAGCAGTAAAGATTGTTCTTCTTTGGATTTTTATGTCCCTAACATGGAAATGGCGTTCCTCTTTGGGTGCATGAGTGGGTTAGGATTCAAAACATTATAACAAGAAGAGAGTTTTGCAACATGTTGTACGTGATGGTTTACTGGGGGAAGGTCGCAGGGCTGTATGCTCTGGTCAATTCACAACAATCTATGGAAATTCCGTAACAGGAGAGATACCAGAAGGAGCAGGACAAGCTGAAAGAAGAGTGGGAAAAGGCCCAAAAGGAAGTGGAAGAAGAAGAACGCAGATACTACGAGGAGGTAGGACGTTCCCTAGTGGGAATGTAACCCTGAAGCCTCAATGCCTCAAAATCGCTCAGATTTTGTGTGTCCATTCTGCACGGGGTGTGGGGCTATCTTTGATCTCTTTACTCACAGTGGAGCCCCACCTCAGCCTTTTTTTTAAAAGAGTCCTGTCGGCTGTGAAAGACCACTGCTCTCCCAGATTTAGCTTGTGGTGAGGGTATGCTGAGTCACAGTCAAGGGAGGGGACAGAAGTGTATCTCTTCTTTAGAGGTCAGAGTTTTTATTTGTCTTACAAGACATGAAAGTATCAATTTGTTTATCTGTGTGTTTGTTAGGGAATTATTTGTGTGTTTGGCAGTAGAGAATTAATACTAATTTTGCAAGGATAATTTTGATATCAAAGCTAAGTGAATCCCTGCATTCACCATAATACTAAAGAGATTTGGAAGGGAGGAGAATTTGGTTTTGTTTGTTTCATTTTTTTCGATGAACAAGCCAGACCATATCAAGAATTTGAAGCTATACGTTATTTATATTATCCAAAATTTGTGGTTAATATTGTCGTGAATTTTATCTTCAACAATAATTTTTGTGGACAGTCATCCCCCAATAGCGTTTCTAATTAGGCTTCTTGAATCATATGAACTAATTATCTTGCAAAGACTGTTTTTCTAAATTAAATGCTAATTTCTTGATCATTCACCATAGAGAATGCTATCTGATTTTAAAAGACCTTTTTTTATGCACTGCTTGTTTGTACATAATTCTGATGGTTTTCCCTAAAGTCCTTTAATGATACTTTTCTCTTGACAAATACTGTTTTCCTTGTTCTCCCTTTCATTAATTCTTGTCCTTTCCCTAGGAGCGGAAAATAATTGAGGACACTGTGGTTCCATTTACTATTTCTTCAAGTTCTGCAGACCAGCTCTCTACATCTTCCTCCGTGACAGAAGGCAGTGGGACAGTGGTGAGACCATAGATTAAAAGCAATTCGTGAAATAAGTAAACCAAAATAAAAATACAAAACCACAAGGCCAAGTTTCCCACCAGTTTATACACAGGACTGCCATAGAATCATGTCAACTACTACATGGCCGTGGTACCCCATGGTACCATCACTGCCACGGCCAAACCCTAGAGTCGATCCCTAAGAAGCAGCACACGCATTCCTGAGGCCCGCTCTGCCCGCACAGGCTGGCAACCAAAGCCCCTGCACTGGTTGGCACGACCCTGGTTAGCGAAGTGTGCTGGAATGTCCTTCTCACTGCCCATCATTCACTCACTCAGCGGCATGTGTTTCTCTCTGCCAGACCATTCATCTCTTTGCCCTGGATGGTAGCAGCATGATGCCAGAAAAGCCAACAATATGCTCACACCAGCCTCCACAGAAGTTGCTTCTAAATAGCTCTTGAAATTCCACATGAGATATATATGTGTCTCCAAGGGCTGGAGAGAGTCCAGAAAGGCTGGTCTAAACTCTGTATCCCCTAAGTAAGGTCATGGAGGTAGTGGACAAATGTCTTAGCAAGACCTTGCTTGTCCATAATCTACACTATGTTTTTGATGATATAAGTAACAGAATACATTCTTTTGCAGTGAACATAATGCCACTTGGGTCTATGTCACATTTGTTGTTTCTATAGTCAATTAACATGTGCTGCAACACACTGTATTTTTTTTAATTATCCAATTTTAATTTAATACAGATTGTACAAAAGAAATTCACTACATTTGATATTGCCTGGTTACTCACCAAGCTCAGAATATTGCTTATCTTTGCTGTTGTATAACAAAGATCATCACAAAAGCCAAATCTTTCATATCTCTTTCATATATTGCAATAATTATGAAACATTGTGTAGACTTTAAAATAAGTTGTTTATAATCATAGTCAAAGGAATTCTACACTGTCCGACAACTAACTTTTCAATATGCACCAGCCATTTACACATACTGAACTTTGAATTTTTTATTTAAACTTTTAAAACACTTTCAAAATTTAAAATTAAATTTTTTGTGTAGTTTTAAAGGTTATACTCCATAATCTGCATTTTAAAATAACCCATGGGTACTTGAAGCCACTTGTTCCTAAAGGAGCAGTCCTATGACCTTGTTTTATTTTGGAAGACAGGTTTTCTAACCAAATCCCTTTTGTGATAACTTTTGAGAGAGATCCAGATTACATGTTCATTTCAAATTATTGGAAATCAGTTACCATTCAGTTGATTTGAACAACCATTCTTTAAACTGTAGACAGTGTGATTGAAAACCATTTCAAATATTCCATGGCCAGACATGAGTGTTGTCCAGTATGTTTAAAAATTATATTCAAGATTATCCTTGATTTCCCCATTAGAATAAGATGGACTTGGAAAACTGTTGCGAGGGAGAACAAGAGACAAGACAGAAGAGACCAGTCCAGGAGGGTAACAGTGACTCCCTGCTGAAGACTAGGGGAGGCGATCCACTGGAGGAGAAGGGCAGGTATGGGCCGGTCCAGGCTGTTCATCCGTGTGTGTGCGGCGGGGCTGTGCCCCTTCCCTCCATCACTAGTGCAAGCCATATTCACCTCTGAAATTATCTTCCAGTAACACATTATCCATATATCATTGCCTGAACACATTCTAACAGCTCTGAAGCCAGTGTCCTTATGCTATTGAATAAGAATAGTCTAGTTTTTAAATAGGTAAAACCTTTTTTAAACAAGGAGAGACTGTGCAGATCACCCAGGAGGCTGGCTCTGCTACCAGCAAGTTCTTTATGATAGAAATGTTTGCCGCTGGGGCTCCGATACATCGATAGATAGTGACAAGTGCACATGTATCTGTGCGCATACACACTTGGGTACACGCTCATAGCATCCCTAGAGGGACCCAGAGAAACAACAGGTTATCTAAGTATTATTTTCAAATCCTGACCAATTTGAAAGGTTGGTTGGGAGCTGAACTCTTCTGGTGGGACTTGCTCTGAGAATTCTTCTGGGCTCATCAGCTAGAAGACTCACTGAACTGTAGGATGTTGGAGTGTGGGGCCCATGTCTGGAGCCTGCAGAGTCCTTTAAACAGCACATCCGTTTTCAGTTAAAATTATTTACAGAGCGTTTCCAGTTTTGAAATCCACAAGTCGAGAACGTCTGAGGGATGCTGGTAAACATTTTACGTGAATTATTGCTATTTCTCCAGACAGTCCGCATTGTCACCAGAAACTTTGAAAAGATCTCCTCCATCTCTCCTTTCTTGGCCTTTGTTGTTATTTTTTTAGACACTAAGTCGTGTCCAACTTGCTACTGAAAGACCAGTGAATTACCATAGGCTGCCAAAGCCCCATATGGCCAAAATGCTTTCTACAATAAGCCCTCTCTTGTGGAAATCTGGGGGAGTATAGTTAGCTCTGTCATGCCTCAAAATTATTAGAATGAAGAGTTTTGTGGACAAGGAGGTAGAGAGGATGTCAGAAATGATGATTTGTTAAATTGACGGATAGTGAAAATGCAAAGCGTTTTACAGGATTCTAAATCCATTTTAAATCTAGTTTAGAATAATAAGAATATTTAGTTGGCCCATTCTTTTCATTTTGTAATTGGTACTTCCTTGTCCTGAGGGATAAGATCAATCATTTCAGTTGCTTTTATCCCTGTTCTGAAATATATTTCTTTGTTTTAGCAGCCTAACTCAAGGGGTCGTGACTCACTCTGAGAACCCTGCCCCAGAAGGCATCTCGCTGCAGCTGGATACAGAAGCTGGGGCCCCACACCATGGGGTGAACCCACAGCGCGCTCAGGGTAAGGATGGAGAAGATCAGCTCCCACGTTTCAGTGGGCTTCCCAGGGGCCGCTAGTGATAAAGAACTTACCTACCAGTGCAGGAGACTTAAGAAATGCGTGTTTGATCCCTGGGCGGGGAAGAACCCTTGGAGAAGGGCATGGCAAGGCGCTCCAGTGTTCTTGCCTGGAGAATCCCATGGTCAGAGGAGCCTGGCGGGCTACAGTCCATGCGGTCACAAAGAGTCAGACAACTGAAGCGATTAGCAAGCACACATGCGTGTTTCTATTATCCTAAGACCCCTTCCCCACCCCGTCGTCCGGACAGATGCGGCCTCTATGCTAAAGGGCACAGTGAGTAAACTCCCACCCCGTGCCCCAGGACGTCCCATGAGATCACTGTGAGCCCTCAGCAGGCATTCGCACTTTAAAGAAAGGAGATTCCTAAGCGAAGGTAGCAGCTTTACCGAGCACTAACTGTATGTTCTTTCTTTGGCCTCAGATCCATCCCAGAATCAGCAGGTATCAAACCCACCGATGCACATTTTAGAAGATGTGAAGCCAAAAACCCTTCCATTGGACAAAAGCATTAACCATCAGATTGAGTCTCCAGGTGAAAGGCGGAAGTGAGTAACCAAATAAGATGCTTGTGGAGTTTTTCTTAATTTTATTTTTTTATTGAAGTTTAAATTAAATTAAAATAAATTATTTTATTGAAGTTTCAAGTGTACAGTGAAGGGATTTGATCACATGGAATTTCTTGTCTTTTAAACTGACTAAGAAGGGGGAAAATGAAAAAGAGTTGGCAGGTGGTTTGCAGCATTTTTGTACTTTCTCTCCATTCACTGTCATTGTCGAGGTAACAAAGACTTATGAAGTTTGGGATGATCTTCCTGGCAAGTAAGCATTTACTCTGAATTTAACAGCTTAAAAGAGACAAAGTAATGTTATTCACTGACAAATCTAAACATTGGAAAGAATTTTCTGGCATGTTGTATTACCGATTTATTTAAGCAAGTTTAATGGTCTCAGAGCCTATGGACAAATGTTATTTTGAGGAAAAAAATGTTTTCCTCTCCTTACCATTCTCTTTCCTTAAATAACTACCCCCAGGCTTTAGTCTAATTTTGTAACAATTACATTTTTTACAATAAAAATAGTTCCCATCATTTTTGAAGCATGGCAATGTAACAGGCACTGTGTTGAAGGGTTTGCAGATATCTGTCTCCTCTTCTTTTTGTGTATTAACTCACTGAACTCACCCAGTTACATGATTGAGTTATTGTCCCCATTTTACAGATAAGGAAACTGAGGCTCAGGGAAATTAGATAACTTACCCAAAGTACTTGTCCGAATGAGTAGAGGTGAAGGGATTCATAGTGAACCCACAATTTCATTATGTCACATTTGACCTATAGTTTCCTTGTAATCAGTTTTAAAAAGATAATATGCATTATACTTTAAGCAGTCATACTACCAGGAGCCAGACCACTTCGATTCAAAATTTTGACTCTGTCACTTGCCTGCATAAAACTTTGAGCAAGACACCTAATCTTTCTCTGCCCCAGTTTCCTCGTGTATAAACTGGGAATAGTAGAAGTGCCTACCTCATAGGGTTCTGTGCCTGGAAGATGGTAAGTACCACACATTGTCGGCAATGATGTTGATAACGATAGTGATGGTGATAATGATGATGATAATTTGTCTTATAAGTTCACCTTTTTATCTGATTTTTCTTGTTAACACTTTTTTCTCAACACAGTTTTAAACCATTTCCCCCTTTTCTCTTATGTCTATCTAATTTTATTCCTCTGTGTCTAGATGACATATGCAGCATTAACAGAAGGTAAAATCACATAGAAGGAGTCATTATTGTTATTGATTGTTGTGATTTTCAACCTTTTTTTCAAGGCAATGGTTCTTATACTTTAGGATATTCCATGAAAAACTGATATTTTGAAGAAGACAAGCTCTATCTAGGGAGGGAGGCTTGGGGCTGGGGGAGGTCAGGGGCTCAGGAAGTTATTCTGAAAGCAGTTACAAGACAGATGGCCTCACGCCCTGTTGATGTCTTTGCTGGCATTTCTCTTTCCCTTGTTCTTCTCTGTATCCTATTCCTTTCTTTACAAGTGAAATTAACTTTTAAAAGCGAAAGCCCAGAACTGACAGCTTGATCACAGGCAGGGCTCACGTGTAACCAGTCGCACCTGTGAAACTATTGAGGGAGCTTCTGGCTGGCAACCATTCTGCCTTGGATATGCCCAGGACATAGTGGCTATTGGTTGCTTTGAACATCACCCCTGATCATTTGGACCTGTGATGAATTTCTGAATAAGGGTGGAAGCCACCTCACCGAAAAATATTTCCTTTAAGCACTACTCTTTATTTCTGGGATCCCTTGAAGAGCTTTTCCCTATAGCCTCGCTTACCTCTCCCTTCCATCCCATTCATAGTTTTTATATCTAGCTCAGCGTGCAACTTTAACTAGCAAAGAACCTGGCAAAAATAAAGAGTAGAAAATTGTTTTGTCTTTTCTATTCAGCAGTGCCAGCCTGGTATTGATATGATACCAGTTCAGCCAGTGTCTGAACAAGCCTGCTAGATGGAATTATTTTTTTGCCCCTTAATAAAAAATAACAACAAGAAGGGCAAAGGGCCTTTAACTGGGTGGCAAAGAAAAGAAGCTTTTTTTTTCTTCTAAAATGTCTTTTCTTGTGGAACTGGGCTTCTGTTTACTTACGATGTTTGGCTCCTTTCCCATGTTACAGGAAAAGCCCTCGAGAGAACTTCCAGGCTGGGCGCTTGTCCCCCTGCTCCCCCACCCCTCCTGGCCAGTCACCAAACAGGTACAAGAGGTCAGCAAGCCTTTCTGAGGCTGCTCTGTTTTGGCTGGAGCCTGCTGCGCACCATCACCACCGAATGCGTGCTTGCCAGGGGCCCGTGTGGATTTGTCCACGCGTGTCTCTTCCTACACACACGCAGAGGCAGGACAAAGGAACACACGCCATCCGCCTGAAGGCTTTATCAGCCCTCAACCGAGAGCGCCAAGCGTGTGGCGCTGGCACGACTGCGGCCATCGGCTTTAATGACATTGTGTGGAACCTGTAGTCTAATAAGAAAATCCACCAGGCAATTGCCAGGCTTCTAAGTCGGCGCCTTTCCCCCCAAGGAGGCTCGGTCCTTCTAGGCGGAATCCGCTGAGGGCTCTCAGAGTGGTCCAGGCAGGCGCTGAGAAACGAAACTTCATCTTCCCTCTTTCTCTCCTCCAGCTCTCCAGTGATCGCCTCTGGACATTAATTGGGCCCCATGATATTCTTAAAAGCTGCCTGAGCTCCCCTTCCCTGGAGAAACAAATTACTAAGCACTGCAGGGTTTTCTTTGATTCCGAAATTTCGTTTAACTGCGGGAGAAGAGGGAAATCCTAATACAGAGAGTTCTGTGAAGGGCGCCTCTTCCTTTTTTTCCTCTTGTCTTCCTTCCTGTTTCTTCTCTCCCTGTGTATAATGTTAACTTCCAAATGACACTGTGTGTTTTAAAGTTTCTTACGTAATTCCGAGAGTTTTCCTCACAGTTGGCATCATTGCAATCTGACCTTCGCTGTGGGAAAGCTGACTAGGGCACAGCCATCCTGTCTCAGCCAATGCAGTGGAAACCCAGCGTGAGTTCTTCACACCCGATCGCAGAACTTGGTGTCAGGGCAGAGCTTCGATCCTATATCTGCCTGGTACCTGTTAGACTGGATCCCGATTTCCTCTTTGCTTTTAAGCAACAACAACAAAATGTTAATAAATAAAAAGGAATGCCCTAGTGGGCCAGTGAACCAAGTACAGAAAAACTTAACGCAACTAAAACCTTAGTAAAACTAAACTTGATTGTCTTTGAGGATTTAAGAAAACATATGATAAATACACTGAATCATTTCAAGGCATTTGATCACTGTGCTTGAACAGACTACAGCACAAACTTTTTATAACAAATAATTCAATTAGCCTCCAACTAATAAAAATAAATAGAAAAAAAAACAAATAATTCATGCATACAGAGTTCCACAGAGTGCCACAGCAGAGGCTTACTGTATTTAATCTATCAATTATCACCATCTTATAGCTAATGCTTAATTCCTGCTCATTATCATTTCAGTATTCGTCATTTCATTCATGGTATCAATGTTTTAAAAAAACCTTTTTTTTTTTTTGAGGCTCCATATTCATGAGGCTCCATGTTCCATTTCATTTTTGCGTGAGGCTCCAGATTCTAAACAGTGCATCTTACTATGCCGTGTGTTTTGCACCCTAGGTCTGTAAGTGGAAAGAAGCTGTGCTCTTCGTGCGGGCTTCCCTTGGGCAAAGGCGCTGCTATGATCATTGAGACCCTCAGTCTGTATTTTCACATCCAGTGCTTTAAGGTACGTATTTGTCACGCCCCTCCCTGAGTCCAGGCTCGTCATGTGTTTTGGCCTCATTCTGTGCTCAGTAAGTACCTCCTGGAAGCCCTAACAGCCCTTGTGTGTGAGGCCCCCCAGCCCTAGGTTGTCCAGAAATGGGCATGGAGTCCATCCTTGAGGATAAAATTCTTCTATCACGCATCCCTCTGGGATGTCGGGTTAGAAGAAGCAAGACGTATATGTGCCACGTGTCTTTGTAAAACTGTTTTTTTTTTTGTTACTAAAGAGTGTAGGCTCTAGCAGGAAGCTAAGCAAGCCACCCAGGAGGACAGTGATACTTCTGAATCTTTAAAGGCAGGGCAGATTTATTTGGAATGTAACATCTTTGCTTCTTCTTAGACTCTTGTGACACAACTCAGAGGTTTCTGGTCTTTGACCTTGATGGGAGATTTCCCTCAATTAAATGGTTGCAGCTAGTTGCTAAATTGTAGATCTCCACATGAGTGTGTCTGCAATCACAGATGGAATATTACTCCCTCTAAGAGCTGCCCTGCTCAGCACACTGAGTCAAGTTGCCTTTGTTACAGGTCCTTATAGAAACTTTCATGCTCCTTATTGCTTACGATCGGACTGTTTAATTATCATCTCTTCTCATAAACTACAAGCTCCATGAGGGCAGGTACCATGTCTGTCTAGCTCATCATTATTTCCTCTGTATACCTAGAGGAGATGGTATCAGTAAATATTTCTAGAGGAGTGAATTGATGAATAACTGAAAATGAGGAGGCTTAAATCTAATCTCAGATCTCCTGCCAATTAGCAGGTGAGCTAACCACTTAATGCTTGCTTGATTTATTTTTAAAAATTTACAAGTCAGACTATATCGGCATCTCCTTTCATCACCCATGGGCATGTTTCAAATAATATATAATTTTCGAAGCTACACCCTCTAGCTCTGGAAAAGAATAATTTCTTTTCCTTCATCATGCAGACATGTTTTCTTCTGTCCTCAGGTTTTGTCCTGTTTCTTGTTGGTTCCCCCCTAGGCTATAAAGTAAACTTACACAGGTTTAAAATAACTCTCACTTTACCTGTACACTAAGAGAAAGTGAATGAAGCCATTCTGAAATTATTAGCTTAATTATGTCAGTAATCACTGGAAAGCAAAACTTATCATGAACAAAACACAATATGGATACTTAGACTCAATTTATCAATATTATTGTTGTAAAATTAACATAAATAATGTATATCCTAAATTATCTTGGAGTATTGTGAGGCTCATAGTATATATTTTTAAGAATTTCATGGTAATATCAAGATAATATGTTCTAACACCACAGTTTATTCTCAGAAACTTAACCAGAGCTCGAAATAATCAAGGTGACAAAGAGTTTTTGCAGATTCTCAATGGACAGGGGACTTAGCTGTAAAGGCCTTTATTTTCTCTGACCGTTCACTTCCAAGAGCTGACTTGAAGCTCTAAGGCGCGCACCATGTGGGTTTATCCCTTACCTTGTGTGTAGGTGTAACTCGTAATATAATTTGAATGGAGCCCTCCCTGTGCCCCGGGTGACCTTAGAGTCTGGGGCCCTTTGTTCACTCCTGGGCTCGGTCATAATCTGCCTGCAAGTGGCTGGCATGAGGCACGCCCCGCTGCCACCTTCTCTGGTTCAGCCAGTACCGTGCACCCCACAGTCTCCTGCACTCAGGCTAACCTTGTATCATTGCCTCTAACATGGAAACTTAAGATGAGGGTGCTGTTCCTCAGTAATTATAGTCAGCTGTTAATAGAACTTCCCAACAACTCTGAAAAGCCTCATTCAGAGACAAGCTTCGATATATAATTTGTTGGCCATGTGTTTACTTAAAACCACTAAAATTTAATCTGTTTAAAACAAGTCTTCCATCTTGAGAATCAGCATGCATCGGCTTTGGGATTCAACCTGATAACTACTCACCAACTTCACAACCTTGGACAAGTCACCTCTTGTCCTAAGCTTTCTGAACCATTGTCCTCCGTAAAATGTTAGGACTTGGGGTAAAATGCTAAAAGTGTATTGTTTCTGGAGGTCAGCTTGCAGAGCAGCGTCTCATACATAGTAGATACTCAACAAATGTGGAGGTCAGAGAAGTGATTGCTATGCTCCTCTTGTGAACAGTAACTGAGCATTGTAAGGAAACAGCTCCTTATGTGCCTTATAACTTCCGTTGTTTCTGCCCTGTAGTGTGGAATTTGTAAAGGACAGCTTGGAGACGCAGTGAGTGGGACGGATGTTAGGATCCGAAATGGTCTTCTAAACTGTAATGACTGCTACATGCGATCCAGAAGTAAGTCTTGGGGGGAAATGCCTTGAGATGTACGGGTGCAAGCACATGCCTTTCCTGGACCAGTTTAGGAATTCAACTACTTCTCCTATCAGCTGATGCTCCTACACTAAACGAAAGATTGATTAGCAATGGTAAAGAATCTGCCTGCAATGAGGGAGACCTGGGTTCGGTCCCTGGGTTGGAAAGATCCCCGGGAGGAGGGTGTGGCAACCCACTCCAGTATTCTTGCCTGGAGAATCCCCATGGACAGGGGAGCCTGGTGGGCTACAGTCCACGGGGTCGCAAAGAGCTGGACGTGACTGAGTGACTCTGCACAGCGCAGGTAAAAGAAACACTGATGAAGCGACCCCTTACTTACTGTTTCTTTCTTACTTGAACGACTGCTGCAACGTGGCCAAATTCATTTTAACTAGAAAGGCATTAATACACCAGCAGATGAAAATGTAGACCAAGTTTGAGACATTGGCTGAGCTCACCATGGAGATTCCAGTGAGATACAGGGATGATGTAAGGCCTGTAAAGCCTATTCATTTGTTGAGGGGTCTCTAGGAGGCCAGGAGCATGTGCAGGGTATCTCACACGTGAAGAGTCGCTCTGCACTGTTCGTCAAATCAGGCTCTATTTCTCCTATCAGCTGATGCTCCTACACTAAACGAAAGATTGATTAGCAATGGTAAAGAATCTGCCTGCAATGAGGGAGACCTGGGTTCGGTCCCTGGGTTGGAAAGATCCCCGGGAGGAGGGTGTGGCAACCCACTCCAGTATTCTTGCCTGGAGAATCCCCATGGACAGGGGAGCCTGGTGGGCTACAGTCCACGGGGTCGCAAAGAGCTGGACGTGACTGAGTGACTCTGCACAGCGCAGGTAAAAGAAACACTGATGAAGCGACCCCTTACTTACTGTTTCTTTCTTACTTGAACGACTGCTGCAACGTGGCCAAATTCATTTTAACTAGAAAGGCATTAATACACCAGCAGATGAAAATGTAGACCAAGTTTGAGACATTGGCTGAGCTCACCATGGAGATTCCAGTGAGATACAGGGATGATGTAAGGCCTGTAAAGCCTATTCATTTGTTGAGGGGTCTCTAGGAGGCCAGGAGCATGTGCAGGGTATCTCACACGTGAAGAGTCGCTCTGCACTGTTCGTCAAATCAGGCACCCGCTCCTCAATGCCTGCATCCAGGGGTTTCATGGCGTAATGCGGGCTTGTTCCCAACGAAATTGCAAATTCTTTGAGAGACAAAACGGTGTGTTTTACTTCTCTGTGAATCCCCACTCTCCTCCAAAACGCCGTAGTACGTACTGATCAGCCTGAACCAGTGTGTGCTGCCTCGAAGCTTCCTTGGGCCGCCTGCTCTCCCGTCTGATGCCTAGGCCTCCTGACGTGGACAGGTCATGTATTAATAACTTTGGGGGGCCACGAGGGGGTGCTGTTGCCCAGCTGCTGTTCAGAAAATATGAAGCTAGCCGGTGGCTAGCCTCTGAATCTGTCCTCAGTCTCCATCATAAATATGGTCCTTATGGTGCATAGGGCTTCTCCGCCGACTCAGTTGGTAAAGACTCTGCCTGCAGTGCAGGAGGCCGGGGTTCAGTCCCTGGGTCAGGAAGATCCCCTGGAGAAGGAGGTGGCAGCCCGCTCCGGCATTCTTAGCTGGAAAATCCCGTGGACCGAGGAGCCTGGCAGGCTCCAGCCCGTGGGGCCGCAGAGAGTCGGAAATGATGAGCACACACACTCAAAAGCATATGTGTGTGTATAAGTATATAATTACATTTTATTTAAACTATGTTTGTATTTGTTTGTTTTTTTTTTATACATTAAAAAGGAAAACTAAGCCCTTTTGTCCCAGGATTCAAAGTAGTCTTTTTTCTCTTATTGACACAAATCGGAGTTTTCCCGCGGCCTCGATGCCCTGTTGCCTGTGAGCCGGGGAACCAGAAGAGGGCGCTGTGAGGCTGAAGGATGCTTCAGCCAGATTGGAAAGTGCTGTAAACCTGATTTCTTTCGTTATTTAAAGGGATTGAAGGATACCAGCAGAGAACAAACCCGAACCCACCTCTGGATAACAGTGACCTGTTTTCATCCAGATTTTTATTTTAATTGAGAAGCTGGCTGTTTCATTGTCATTTCTTTCGGAAATTAGCTTTTAGGATCTAGGCCAGCAATTTTTCTCTTGTGGATACAAATATAAAGGATGTTAAGTGCTTTTGATTCCAAATCTATAGACAAGAACCATGGGGTTCCTGCCACTATCCTGTAAGATGAAAAATAGGTAATTGGAAGTAGATTAAAGGTACTATTTTTTCTTTAATATTTTTGATGCACTATTTCACTAGATATATTTTAGAATACAAATGTACTAAGTAAGACCAAGCCAAAAGGTTCATTATCTCTTTGCCTAGAGAACCAGTATCTATATTCAAAAGAAGAAATAAATAGAAGGTATAAATGATAAAAGTTTAGGAAAAAATGGATTGTTTAGAAAGATAAGAAATGAAAAATGAAAAAATCTTCAGTCAACCACATAATCACTTCCTAATAATTTCTTGGGGACAGGGGCAGAATGTATGTTTGTATATATACATGTGTGTGCGCGCGCACACAGATCATATGTGTGTGACACATCTACCTGTGTTGGTTTTTGTTTCACAAAGGTAAGGGCACAGCCACAGTGGTACTTACTTTTTGTTGCTGCTGTTTTTAACTTAATGATGAAAGTGAAAGTGCTAGTCGCTCAGTCGTGTCTGACTTTGCAACTCCATGGACTGTAGCCCACCAGGTTCCTCTGTCCATGGGATTCTCCAGGCAAGAATACTGGAGTGGGTTGCCATGCCCTCCTCCAGGGGATCTTCCCAACCCAGGGACTGAACCCAGGTCTCCCACATTGCAGGCAGATTCTTTACCATCTGAACCACCAGGGAAGACAACTTAGTTATGTATCTTGGCAATTTTTTCATATAGCATGTTCTTTCCCCTCATTCTTTTTAAGGCTCTTTTATAGCTGTGTACAGTCCTACTGTATGGACTTAGCATAACTTAAAACTAACGTGCTATGAAGGAATGCTCCTGTTAATTCCAGTTTTTTTAATACTATTTTTTAAATGCCCCAGTGAACAGCTTTTTATGTATGTCTTGATGAACCTTTGAAAGCATTTCCACAAGGTAGATTCTGAGCAGTGGAAAGTGAAGTTGCTCAGTCATGTCCGACTCTTTGAGACCCCATGGACTGTATGTAGCCTACCAGGCTCCTCAGTTCATGGAATTTTCCAGGCAAGCGTACTGGAGTGTGTTGCCATTTCCTTCTCCAGGGGATCTTCCCAACCCAGGGATCAAACCCAGGTCTCTCACATTGCAGGCACACGGTTTACTGTCTGAACCACAAGGAAGTGGAACTGCTGAGTTAAAAGGCGCGTGCCGTTTAAATCTTCAGGCAGTTTGCCTAATTATATTCCCCAAAAGAGCACACTCTCTCCAAGGTGTATGAGAGCCTCTTTCTTTCCCTATGCCTTTGTCAGCTCTGGATGTCATCAGACTTTTAAAATTTCCACTCTGCTAGGCCAGGGGGATACAACCTCTTTGCTTGGTTCTGTAGTCTTTAACTAACTTTAAGTGAGTTTAAGCATCTTTTCATTTGTTTGTCCACCATTTATACTTCTTTTTCTATTAAAACCTTTTATATTTCTCTATCATTTTCCCATTATTCTATTATCAGTTGCTTTTTATGAGTTTTTGTAAATTAAGGAAATTTTCCCTTTATTTTATATTTGCTACTTTGGGCAGTTACCATTGGTCTTACCACTTTGTGATTTTTTTTTTCATAGAATAAATTTTCAGTTTAAGTAACATAGTTACCTAAACTTAAGTTAGTTAAACATAAACATAGCTCTCATTTTTCCTTTTTGGATTCTGGGTTTTGTGTTCTACTTAGAAAAGCCCTGACTACTCCAAGACTATAAATAAATTTAGCTGTGATTTCTCCTAGAATTTTTTTAATTTTCTTTTTGGCATATAAACATATGATAATCAGAAATGTATGTGGGGGTAAGAAATAAGATAGATACTAGATTTATTTTGTTTTCCAGTTACCCAATTGTGTGACTATAACTTACTGAAAAATCCCATTTTTTCTTATGAATCTGAAATGCAACTTTCTCCTAAACTAAGTTCCCATATATATTTTGGGTCTATTTCTGGATATTTTATCATGTTTTATTAACCTATTTATTCTCTAGTATCAGTTTTAATTAATATAGCTTCATATTATGCTTCAGTATTGAAAGAGAGACTGGCCACCTTCTCTCCAATTATTTTTTCCAAGTTTTCCTAACTCTCACATTTATTTTTCCAGATAATATCATTTTAGACTAAACTTTAATCAGGTCAACAAATGGCAGGGAGAATGACCACCACATCTGAGAGTACTGCTGATCTCTTTCTTGGTGTCATAAGGAGAAACTCTACCTTCAGAGTGAATAGGCGGAGAGGCTAGTAGTTGGTTAGAGAAGTATAAATCCACCTGAATTGATTGAATATACCCCAGATGCAGTAAAAGAGTCAGAATGGGGAAAATGGCTGAAAATCATTTTTTTCTTTTTTTACTTGATTTTGATCTGAAGTTAAGAAGGGAGATGGATAGATGTGAGAGGTGGTTTATATCAAAGGCATTCTTAGTGAAATGAAATAACTTCATTGTATGGATAATAAAACCTGAATATATAATCCTATTTTCTTCAAGTAACTGGTCACATTTAAATGAAATTTTTCTCTTGGAGGGGGAAAAAACAGCATAACAGCATATTAAAATGCAATTCCTAAAAGTAATGTAAACAGATTGTAAATTCCTATGTAAATGGGAAGAGAAGTGCAAAGCAAATTACCTGTCACGAATCAAGCCGTCACATGGGTTAACTGGTGCCATTTGTGCTTGGGTGTTGGATGGCCGTGTCTTTGTGTCTGTTTGATCGTTCACTTTTGTGAAATGCATTTAACGCACAATCCCGGGGGTCTTTTCCAATGTTGCAGTTGCCTTATCATAACTCTGATGCCTAAAATGAAGGAGAAACTTTGTGAAGGTTTCAGCAGGAAATACGGAGCCCAAACCATCCTTCCTAGATAGAGTTGCCAGATAAAATACAAGATGCCCAGTTACATGTTTTTGAGTTTCAGCTAAACAATGAATTTTTAGTATGTGTATGTCCCGAATATCTCTTGCTCAGGATTTAGCACAAGTATATCCCAAATATCCCATGGGATATATACTAAAAACTTTATTTATTGTTTATCTAAAATTCAAATTTTATTGGGTGTTCTATATTTTATTTGCTAAATCTAACACTCTTGTTTCTAGATCATATGTCAGATTCCTCCTGTTGCAATGCATTTATCCTTAGAGAAATCACAAGCTAAGGAAACTGACAGAACAGAAATTATTTTCTTGCTTAATTGCCACAGAAAACAAGGAAGAAAACTTGGTGGAGGTTATTTGGTTTAGGGTGAAATCCAGAGGACTTCAGCCAAACTTGACAGGGCATGTGAACCACCTGGGCTTCTTGTTCAGTTCTGGGATAGTGCTCAAGAGTCTGCATTTCTAACAAGCTCCAGGTGATGCCAATATGAGCCAGTCCCTGGACCACACTTCAAGTGGCATGGTGGGACAGATTTCTTCTCCCTGGAAGGAAGAGATGTGGGCAGTGATCGTCACTAGTTTCAGAAATGTTTGAACATCTAAATCCAGAATGGCTGACTACTGTAACCACATGTTGCTCTGTTTTCTTCACGCCAGGTGCTGGCCAACCCACAACATTGTGACGTGGTTGTTCAAGCTTCCGGATCACTCACCATTTCCTTCCCGAGGGTGTCCCCCGGCAGTTGTTTAACAAAGCCCCGAGTTCAGGGGCTCCACAGCATTCATCTGATTTCTGAAAGGCTACTTTAAAAGATGGTATCTGTTCTTTTGTAGCACAGTGTTCATGTTTTTCCTGGTTTCCTTTTTTTTTTTTTTTTGGCATTTGCACAGTATATACAAAAGAATATTGAATTGTAATGATCCTGAATAGTTCAAAAAGAAGAGGTCTTAGCATGGTCAAACAGGCTTATGGTTTAAAATATGTTATTCTCTTTTTTTTTTTTTGGAGTTAATGAGATAAATAATGCAATAAACCTGTTTGGGTTTTTTTTTAGCATTTCTAGGAATTAAACATTTTATGTTTACAGAATTGAGCTGCAGAAAATGCAGGACATGCCAATTTGAGACATGTGGTCTTCTGAGTCAGGAGCATACAATTAATGCATTTCAGAAACTAAAAATCACACCATCTAGCTCTGAGCTATAACTTGTTTTTACTGCAAAGTCACTAGGCTGATAATATATACTGTAATCTTGAAACATTTGTGTTACTTACCTTTTGAGGTGGACGTCATACCAATAAATTATTGTACCGTTAGTATTAGATTCTGTGTCCTTTGGGAATTATGCCATTGATATAGGCTGAACCATCAAATAGAGAGAACCCTTGTAATATTGGCTAGGTTTACACTCTGGGGCATTGCCCAAGGGTAGGAAGAAACCAGAGGGACATAATTCAGTCATTATTTCCAAAGTTGCTACCAAAATCCGTGAAGAAGTTTAATCTTCCAAAGAGTGGTGGGTCAGTGATCGCCGAGGGCTTCGTTGCTCGCTTCTCTTCCTGCTCTAAACTCAATAAAAGCCTCCGTGTGGGACGTATGGAAGCTGTCGTCGAGATCAGCCCAGCATTAGGTGTGACCCCTGCTCACCCTTGCCTGCAAGTTCTCCTTGGGGGCTGAAGCCCGGGTCTGAGTCCATCCAAACAGAATCCAATGGCATGCAATGTGAGAAGCCACTCGTGTGTGATCAGCAAGAAACTTCCACTCACATTGTCCCTGCCCATCCCACTGGATACCTACCTGCTCTCCCTCACGCCATCCATCACCAGCTCTCCTGACTTCTGGAATGTCAGAACCAAGAATTCTGAACCTTGCTCATGGAGAAGTTTAGCAAGGAACTCTTGTGGAGGGCTGGTTTATTTTTTGCCCTGTGTGATGAGTTTCATCTGGCCAAGAAAGGAATCAAGTTATTAAAAATCATCCCATGTTAGATCTCCAGGCTGTTTTCCTGAAGACTGGGGAAAGGGGGACTAATTTATTCTGCCTTAAAATGATGGCAAATAAGTGAAGATGACAGATGACATTTTGTGAATGAAGACTCTGGATATACTCCTAATAGGTTAATGTAGTCATAAAAGATCAAGTAGATGTTTTTCTGTTACGTAAGCAATAATTTTTTTTTCTGTGTCTTATTGAGTATGGCTAGCAGTTATTTATTTACTTGCTAGACGGTTCTCTGCATGCGGGTTCCATGTAAGTGCAGAAATTTCCTCAGCCACTGGAGATAGTTTGGCCATTTTGTTATTTGGACGGGTTTGTTGGTAGATTGAAATTTACACATCATTTCATTAAAAATTGTGCCTTAGAAAATGCAAAGCTGTTGCACATAGTGATGAATTATGGATGCAGTACATTGAAGAGAGATGAAGTCACTTCCAAGTTCTCAAGACTTCTCATGGAGGTGTTGGCTGCTTTACAGGGGAATAAATTTAAAAAAAAAAGAAAAAGAAGAATTGAAAACATTTTGAAAATGTACAGATTAAGTCCAATATTTTGATTAACCACCTGCATGTTTTATTAAGTATTTTGATAATATGAATGTTTGCACTTTGCATGATATTAGAAGAGTACTTCACCACCAATAATGCACAAAACATGTACAATAGAATCATTCATAACCGATTTTTATAGAATACTTTTTACATGTGGAACTCCATCCGTTATGTAAGGATTATATGAATATTGCACATTCTCTTCTGGTTTCACAAACCCATTTATACATATTTCTTAGTGAGACTCATTGTACATGTATTGAAGCTAGAATCAAGTCAAGAAAAATAAAACCCCATTCTCCAACTGCGAAATGTGCTTTTCCATAATGAACAATAGTCACCAGCACAGAATAATCTCCAACATTTTCTAAATTCTAATTGCCAACTGTTTCTATTTATATTTGATTTATATTTCATTTGGAGTCTGTTACATGGCAGCTCGGGCAGACTAGATCTTGTTTTTTCCAATGCAGCATAATGAGTATGATCTATTTCTTTTCAAATAATCTTTGAGATCCCAGGAAAAAAAAAATGCTGTGCTCCGTTGAGCTACAATGTAAATGTGTTTGTTTAAAAAACAGATGAGGCAAGTGAGTGATTTATTGTTCCTGAGGAAGTATATCTTTTTTTTTTCTTATATTTCAAAACCTAGTCTCTTCTTAAGGGAAAAAAAAAATGGGTAACTCTGTTTTTCACTTGCAAACTTTCATGACGTGTTCATTCTTTCTGTGTAGTGTTATTAATGCAATACATACTATAGTTATCTATACACAGTGTAAGACTTAACAAGCTGAAATGATCCACCTCATATGTGAGTCCGTCCAAACAATGTTACTATTCTGGGTGGGCCAATGTTCTGTATCAGTTACACTAACCTTCATTTAAAATATTTATTCTAAAATGACTCTGAGAAATAGTAAAAAAAATAAAAAATAAAAAGTTGTCTAAAACGCAACAGCTTTTATAGTAAATGTACATTTATAAATAAAATACTCAAATTAATTTTGTATTTCACTGATTTTTTTTTTGAGGGGCGGGGAGTCAATTTCCTTACTTGGGGAAGAATCAAGCTCCCTCTTACAGCTTTTGGTCCAAAATTACACAGTCAGATGACAGCAATGATGCAGATTTGCATATGTATATTGATGCATCTTGAGGTCAGCTATTTAAGGCAAATTAAACTTACCAGCTGACTGTGCGTGCTAAGTCGCTTCAGTCATGTCCGACTCTCTGTGACCCTGTGGACCATAGCCTGCCAGGCTCCTCTGTCCATGGGATTCTCCAGGCAAGAATACTGAAGCGGGTTGCCATGCCCTCCTGTAGGGGATCTCCCCGACCCAGGGATTGACTGTAGGTGCCACTGAGGAATTGCCTTCCATTGAAGGATTCAAATTCCTTGAGACGAGATGAACAATAACCAGGAGAGGGCTTGTGAATGCCAGTGGAAACTGTCTGGACAACCAAATGAAGGTTAACTTCCAGTACTGGCTAGAGAAAACCACATCAAACCCTTTGAAGTTGCTATATTCTGCTGACTTTTCCAGCGCTGTCCCAGTGCTCACTCTCACTGAAAACATACAGTCTGTTCACAGAGGACATTTCTCTCCATTGTTGACCCAGGGAATATGCTTTGAAACAGTGGCATTCTGCTGATACTGTTAACTTTCCAAAATACACGTGTATCTTGGCTGGCCCTGTGTCTCAAATTTGTAGGTGGCGACAATAGCAATCAAATTCCTTGAAAGTTTCCCTCATTTTAAGATACAGTATTCTAATTGTCACTGCAAGTTGTATTCTGCTTTTTTTTTTTTTGACAAAGTTGGGTATGAGTTAGTAGTCACTGCTCTTTCCATAGAAAGTGAATTCTTCACCTTTAGAAGAGAAGTTTAGCAACTATCAGAGTAGTTTAAAATATCCATTGTTATGTAAGTGAAAGCTTATTCAACTATAATGCAATTCAAGACAAAAGATTGTTATTCTAACATATGATCTATGAGGAATGTCTTTATTAAAATAAAAATATTTTTATCTAGGATAATGTTGAACTAGCTTTTTTTCCATTGACTTTCTTCAAGACCTAAGGACTTCTTTTTAGGGTCCAAATCTGGACCACAAAGAATCTCTCCTCATCCTTCAGCGTTAGCTAAGTCAGGGGTTACAAATTCCAATGACTGGAGGGACCAGCTAGGCATTGTAAATGAGAACCAGAAGAGGATAATATTAAGAGAGTGGTGTAGACTATGGCAAAGTGAAAAACTGAGCAGTTCTGTCTCACAAATGAACGTATCTACACAACAGAAACAGACTCACAGGCACAGAGGATAGCCTTGTCGTTGCCAATGGCGGGGGTGGGGGCGGGGAGGGAAGGTTTGGAAATTTGAGATTGGCAAATGCAAGCGAGTATATGTAAGGTGGATAAACAACAAGGTCCTACTGTATAGCATAGGGAACTAGATTCAATATCCTGTGATAAACCATAATGGAAAATAATACAGGAAAGAATACGTGTATAACCGAGTCACGGCTGTATACCAGAAATTAACACAGCATTGTAAATTAACTATACTTCAATAATTTTTTTTTTAAATAATGGTAGGAAACATTGGCACTGGTACACAGTGGGGAAGAGAAAAAGAACAGTTGTGTCTAAAGGAAAAGGCAGCTACCAGGCTCTAATCAATTGTTTTCATGTGAAACCCCCAGTTTTTTAAATGTTGACAGCAATTCAAAACGTTTTCCAGCACAGCGCCAACCAAAACTGTGTCACTCCACAAACTGTACCCACAAGTTCAGTTCTGTCCTCAGCCCACCAGTCCACAACATGTAGCTACAACCTTTGCTTTTCTATCAGCTGCTGACTTGCTCTGCTGTGAGTCGTTTCACTGGACCTATGCATCAAGATTTGCCATTGGAGTTTTTGCTTTTGCAGTATCTTGAGTCACTCAAAGAAGCTAACAGATCCACTGGTCAGCAGCTGGTATGGCTGCAATTCCTGACCCTTTCAGCATTATTCGTGTATTGTCATCAAAGCATGCTATGCTACAAGCACCCGTGTTCAGCATTTTGCAGAACCATGCCCACCCCTTCCTTCTTTCTTCAGAATGACTCAAAAGGACAGAAGAGTGTGCAAATATACAAAGTAGAATTTTTTCTAAACTTGTTTAGCACCATGTTCTCAACTGTACTTCTGCAAGCCCTGTTTTATTTACCAAAAAGCAAATTCTGGCACGTGAGAAGATGAAAGTATGCCTCCCCGTTTACAGAGAAGGAATAGACATGTGGAGGAATAAGTGAGTTATTCTAGATGAATATAAGATTTTACATAATTGTGTGTTTCATCCACTGGCTCCTATCAGGAGTGATTAGGTGAAGCTCCTACTCAACTGTGCCTGACCCTCATGTCTGGGACCCCACATGAGACGATCTAGGAGGACCCCTGAGTGTAGCTGGACTTCACAGAATTCAGTGTGCACTCAGAGACCAGAACACCCTTTTTATAGTAAACTTGCACTTATAAAATACTGAAATAGAGTTAGTATCCCATTTTTACCCTTGGGGTCTGCCTTCTTACTCTGGGGTGAAAGAGGAGCGCTGTCCCTTGGACATATCCTTGGACACTTCAGTCTTTGCCAAACAGGAAGCTGTCCAACGTGTTTGTCCAACCCAACTTTTGTGTTGTGAAACTGGACTTCCACTTCCTCAAACCCAATAGCCAACACCTGAACAAGAGAAAAGTCCCATTCTAACCATCCTGATGGGGAGAAGATGCTGAGGGCCCAGCACATTAATTCCTTCGTCACCACAAACAAATTCATTCCTACATGAACCAAGGCCTTCATTTTTTCAGCAGGGATAGTGACATTGTCCATGTTTTCTTCACTGTCCACCAAGGAGAGAGAGAATTATCACAACAGGCCCTGTTGATTTAGAAAATACTTTGGTTGAGGATTTCTCCTGCAGCCCAGTGGTTCGGCCATGGGGGTTTCGTTACTGGGGGCCTGGGTTTGATCCTGGTTGGGGAACTAAGATCCTGCAAGCTGCGAAGTGCTACCAAAAAGAAGGAAAGAAAGAAAATATCTTGGCTGAAAGTGAGTGAAGTAAAATTGTAGGAAGCTGCTACTAAACATGGTACTAGGCATTATACCCTCCATCTCAATCAGTTCATTTCAGTCGCTCAGTTGTGTCCGACTCTTTGCGACCCCATGGACTGCAACACGCCAGGCTTCTGTGTCCATCACCAACTCCTGGCGCTTCCTCAAACTCATGTCCATTGAGTCGGTGATGTCATCCAACCATCTCATCCTCTGCTGTCCCTGGCTCCTCCTGCCTTCAATCTTTCCCAGCATCAGGGTCTTTTCCAATGAGTCAGCTCTTCGCATCAGGTGGCCAAAGTACTGGAGTTTCAGCTTCAGCATCAGTCCTCCCAATGAACACCCAGGACTGATCTCCTTCAGGATGGACTGGTTGGATCTCCTTGCAGTCCAAGGGACTCTCAAGAGTCTTCTCCAACACCACAGTTC